GCTTGCTTCTCCCTCTCCCACTCCCCCTGCTTGTGTTCCCTCTCTCACTGTGTCTCTCTCTGTCAAATAAATAAATAAAATCTTAAAAAAAAAAAGTTCATACTGTAATACCACTTCTAAGACTCTAAGTAAATATTTAGACAAAGTACAAGAATGTTTACTAGAACATTATATAAAATGCCAAACACTGCGAACAGACAAAATATCCAATAATGAGTAAAGGGTTAAATTCAGTTATACCGGGCGCCTGGGTGGCTCAGTTGGTTAAGCAACTGCCTTCGGCTCAGGTCATGATCCTGGAGTCCCAGGATCAAGTCCCACATCGGGCTCCCTGCTCGGCGGGGAGTCTGCTTCTCCCTCTGACCCTCTCCCCTCTCATGCTATCTCTCATTCTCTCTCTCAAATAAATAAATAATCTTTAAAAAAAAAGGGGTGAAATTCAGTTATACCCACTGACAGAATATTATGAAGTCACTAAAGACCACGTTTTCAAAGGATATTTAATAATATGGAAAAATATTTAAGAAATGTTAAGAACCAAAGAAAGATACAAAACTGAATTAATACTACTAAATTCCGTAATAGGAAAAGCTGGAAGGATATATGCTAAAAGGTTAGTTGCAGCTGGATAATGAAATCACAAGTAATTTTTGTCTTAGTTTTTACAATACTCTGTAACTTCCCAATTTTGTCAAATTTTACAAGACTATAATAATATGATTGTATTACAAGAGTATAATAAAAAATATTTAACATAAGAGAAAAAAAAGCTAACACTTTAAAGTGTATTTGAGCAAAAATAAAAAATTTATAACAATATAATGCTAGCAGAGATATACAAAAACAGGAACATTCATTTAATACCTGTAGCAGTGTAAATAAATTTTTTTTGACTGTCATTTGACAATGCATAACAAAAGCCAAGAAATATTTAAAATACTCTGACTCATTAATCTCACCTCCTGTGGAAATTTATCCTCTGCTTTTTTCCTTAAGAAAGGGCTACTTACAAAACCATTTGCTTTTATTCATGAGAGTTTAAAAAAATGGAAACAATTTAAATGTCTACCATTAGAAAAATGCTTAGGTAAATTAATAATATGTTAACCTGATGCAGCTATTAAAAAGATAAACCCCAAGAAAAGGTTAATGAGTAGTTTCAGAGAAAAAAGTTTTAAATATTATGTATGTTACGATTAAAACCTACAAAAATGTTTTCATACATAAAAAGAAAAACAAAGATTATGAAGGATGGGAATATGTCTGTTTGCAGAAAGGACTAAGGATATCATTTGATGGAAAACTGGTTAAAAATATTTTGAATACAAAATTTATATAAGTAGGGGCGCCTGGGTGGCTCAGTCGTTAAGCATCTGCCTTCGGCTCAGGTCGTGATCCTGGGGTCCTGGGATCAAGCCCAGCGTCGGGCTCTGTCGGGCTCCCGGCTCAAGCGGGGAGCCTGCTTCTCCCTCACCCTCTGCTGCTCCCCCTGCTTATGCTCTCTCACTTTCTTTCAAATAGATAAATAAAATCTTTTTAAAAAATTATTTTAATTTTTAAAAATTTAGGTAAGTAAACAAAAGAGATTTTTTACTACTATGTCTGAAATGATATGTCCTAGGTTCTAAAGGCACAAACAGGAGACAAGACACATTTAATATTCATGTGTTCTTGTATCTTTGTTTTAGTACCAATTACATTATCATGTAGTTACAAACTAAACAATTTATTCCCAACTACTTAGGAAAAATTTTTGTAATTTTCTTTTCTTTTTTTTTTTAAAGATTTTATTTATTTATTTGAGAGAGAGAGTGAGAGAGAGAGAGCACATAAGAGGGGCGAGGGTCAGAGGGAGAAGCAGACTCCCTGCTCAGCAGGGAACCCAACGCGGGACTCGATCCCGGGACTCCAGGATCATGACCTGAGCCGAAGGCAGTCGCTTAACCAACTGAGCCACCCAGGCGCCCTGTAATTTTATTTTCTATAAAGTGTCTTACTCCGTACCTTTTCAACTGAAGTTTCTGCATGTAAACTCTTGCTCTCCGCATCTGTTTTACCTTGTGAAAGAACAGGTTTCTTCCCAACTGCCCTTGATAAATTGGGTTTAGGTCTCTGTAGTTGTCTTCTTCCCATCAGTTTAACATTTCTTGACTGATCAGTTTCCCTAGAAAATGAATTATTTATTTTTTATTTTTTTAATGAACATTATTTAAATCGCACCAACATGGAGACACAGTCAAATAAAATTCTGAAAAATTCCTTAAAAATCCACTCAGAGACAGAAAAGTCCTTTAGGTTTACTTAGAGTAAAAGTAGCAAAGAGAACGGAAAAACAAGAGCCATGAGGCGGTAACTTATTTTACCAGATGCTAAAAAGAAACTATTCAGCATCAATAATTAAAACACTGGTACTGATAATGTGAATAAACAGATAAATGAAACACAAAAGAAAACTTAGAAGATGACTTTAACACACATGAAAGTAGTATATAAAAAAGGCAGCATTTCAAAACAGCGAGGATGAAATACAGAATAATGTACTGTTACAAATAATATCAAAGCAATGGTGATGTGAAAACTAACACTGGTGACCAAAATAAAATTAGCTCCATTCCTTGCACTGTACTCATAATATGTTCCAATGCATCAGAGTTAATAAAGCCACACAGTAAACATGGATGAATTCTTTTATAACCTTGAGTTGGGGTAAGCCTTCATAAAGTTTAACTAAGAATTCAGGAGCCATAAAAGAAAAACAAAATTGAGAAATAGAACTACATAAAAATCAAAAACTTCTACACGACTAAGTCAGAAGTCAAACTACCAACCAAGAAAGCATAGGGGCGCCTGGGTGGCTCAGTTGATTAAGCAACTGCCTTCAGCTCAGGTCATGATCCTGGAGTCCCTGGATCGAGTCCCGCATCGGGCTCCCTGCTCAGTGAGGAGCCTGCTTCTCCCTCTAACCCTCTCCCCTCTCATGTACTCTCTCTCTCTCTCTCTCATTCTCGCTCTCTCAATAAATAAAATCTTTAAAAAAAAAAAAAAGAAAAGAAAGCATGTTTTGCACATCAAAAAACAAGGCTAATCTCCCTAAAATAAAAAGAGCTCCTACAAACAGTAGCATCAAAAACTCATTTTAAAAATGGACAAAGAGGGGCGCCTGAGTGGCTCAGTAGGTTGAGTGCCTGTCGCCAGCTCACGCCAGATCAAGCCCCACATGAGCCTGCTTCTCCCTCTCCTACTCCCCGTGCCTGTGCTCTGTCAAATAAATAAATAAAATCTTAAAAAAAAAAAAAGGACAAAGAATATGAACAACTTTAAAAAACAAAATAAAAATAGGTTTTAAAAAAAGCACAAATTAAGGGGGGGAGGGAGATGTGTGCACCTGTGCAAGCAAGCACAAATGTAACATTAGGAATTATAGAATCTAAGGGGAATTATATACAAATGTTCACAGTTCTATTCTTTTGACTTTTCCTTAGGTTAGAAAATTTTAAAATAAAAAACTCAATAAAAACAAAGCATTACAAACCCCTGCCTAAAAAGGAAGAGTGGGATGGAGAGAGTATACGGAAGTATTATTTTTTAATCTATCAAGACCAGCATAAATCCTAGTTTGATAAACACCATTTTCTCTTAAGGGAGACATTTCTTACAATGTTGGTGGGAATGTAAACTAGTATAACTCCTATGAAGAACACTTTGGAAGTATCTCTCAAAATTCTAAATGTGTATATGTGTATGCACACACACATATATACATTGCAGCAAGCAATTCCATTCTGAATACTCACCCAACAAATACAGATGACCTTTGAACAACACAAGTTTAAGCTGTGTAATTCCACCTATACACAGATTTTTCTCAATACGGTACTGTAAATGTAATTTCTCATTATTATTTTAAGGCACTTTGTTTCTCTAGCTTACTTTAATTGTAAGATTACAATATATAATACATATAACATAAAAATATGTGTTAATCAACCAATTACATCATCAGGCTTCCGATTAACAGTAGACTATTAGTAGTTAAGTTTTGGAAGAGTCAAAGTTATTTGTGGATTTTCAACTGCAAAGGGGTCAGCATCCCTAACCACTGTGTTGTTCCTAAGGGTCCACTGTACTTACATACAGTCAAAGGATAGAAGTTAAAGATTTTAAGCACTGTTTGAAAAAATAACCTATATAGCCATCAGTTGGGCTTTGATAATATAAACTCTAATCCATCTATACACCAGGACACTATGAAGTGCCCACTTCAGCAGCACATGTACACCAGAACACTACATACTATGCAGCTACTCAAAAATAATAAGGAAGATCTTTATGCAAAGATATCAAAATATAAAACCAAAAAATTGCAAAATGGTGTCTCACACATACACTATCATTAGGATTTTAAGAGGAGTAAAAAAATATAAAGAACATACATTTGTATTAGTTTTAAAGTACTTTTTTTAAATCTCTGAAAGAATAGCAGAAATAAATTACACAAGTTACTTAGAGTGAATGTGGACATGGAAGGAGGGGTATTTCACTCTATATCTTTTTATACTTCTAGATGTTTGAGCCGTAAGACCATATTGCCTATTCCAAAGACTAAATTTTTATTTAAAAAAAAAAAAAGTTTCATTCTCTGTGTGACTGTGCTTTACTGAAAATAAGTTTAAGAATTCATAAACTAAACAGCCTTTAAGCCTGTATGAGGAGTTTAGGAGGGACCCAAAAAGAAGTCTGAATTTCTGAGCTATCTCTCTTCAAAGGCAGATTCTTGTTGTGCTTTTATTCTGTTTTTAGTGCAAATGTTAATCAGTATCTGCACACTAGAAAACATAATTTCTTTAAAGTCATCAATATCAAAAATCTACTACTTTGAAAAATTACTCAAGCCAAGTAAAAGTATCTAATAGCAAATGTTTAGGCTTCCAAATTATTTTAGGATTTCAGCATAAGTCACCATTGTACATAAAATTCCTATCATGGTTATCTATTAAATATGAAAGAGAATCTTTCTGTAATGAAATATAAAGTGATAAGCCTTTATGTCACAACCAGACCATAGTACAATTATATATTAAATGGTGTACCGTCCCTTTCTAGTCCCTAAAGAAAGCAACATTATCATTTCTTAAATAAGAAACCATCACAATTTTGAAAGTAAATTTTAAAATCCTACCATGTAAAATACTTACAATGATTTATTTTTTAGGTCAACACTGCCTTCTTCTGTACAACTACTTTCAACATTATTCACTTCACACAGTGAGGTAATGCCAGCTTCTGATAAAGGCAAATCTGAAGGGCTTGATTCTGAAGCTTCAGTTGCTAGTGAGGTTGCAGCACCTTGTTGATCACTAAGCAAATGAAAACACATCAGGAGGAAAAGAATTCTTGGTAATACATGTTTTATAATAACTACTTAAAATATTTTTTAACATATAAAACCAGCTGGAAAATGATACTTCATATTTTGGAATTATCAATATAAATATCTTGGCTTTTCTATGATCCTTCTTGTACCATGTTGTTAAAAGCTGTATCTTTAGGGGCGCCTGGGTGGCTCGGTTGGTTAGGCTTCCAACTCTTGATTTCAGCTCAGGTCATGATCTCAGGACGGTGAGATCAAGCCCCAAGTTGGGCTCCACAATGAGCGTGGAGGCTGCCTAAGATTCTTAACTATAAGGAACAATCTGAGGGTTGCTGGAGGGGAAGAGGATGAGGTGTAATGGGATGATGGGCATTAAGGAGTGCACTTGATGTAATGAGCACTGGGTGTTATATGCAAGTGATGAATCACTAAAATCTACCCCTGAAACTAATACTATATGTTAACTAACGTGAATTTATTATTTTTTTTAAAGATTTTATTTATTTATTTGACAGAGAGACACAGCGAGAGAGGGAACACAAGCAGGGGGAGTGGGAGAGGGAGAAGCAGGCTCCCCTCTGAGCAGGGAGCCCGGTGTGGGGCTCGATCCCAAGATCCTGGGACCATGACCTGTGCCGATGGCAGACGCTTAACGACTGAGCCACCCAGGCGCCCCAACTAACGTGAATTTAAATAAAACCTTAAAAAAAAAAAGATGCTTTCTACAAAAAAAAATTCTCTCTTCCCTTCCCTCTGCCCCTCTCTCCCCACTCGCACACAATTCCTCTCTCTCAAAACCAAACAAACAAAAAAAATTGTACCTACAGAGAAAGAGTAGCCACAAATTAACAGGCCCAGGAAAACACTCAAGAAGTCAAAATGAAAAATTCTTCATTACATGGGGTTGACAAATCTATGTGTAAAATCAGAGCAATATTTAGGAATAATCTCTCATTAAAATCTTATACAGGCAGGCCCTGCTTTGCATGGTACTCTGTTAACCAAAAGTTTTATAAATCCAAGGACACAGTGCCAATATGCATAAGCTACAGTTAGCACTGTATGCCAAGAGAAGACCACCGTATTATGAAATATCCCAACTAATAATACCATAAATGATGGCCATGTACTAACTGGCACACAGAATGAACACATATGACTTTAACTAGATCTTGTTTTTCCCCTCATTTTTTCTACTGGGTGTTTGTCTTTTCCCAACTAATCAATAAGAGCTCTTTATATATTATTTTTTGGTTAGATAATACACCTAAAACCTCCCAAACAGTAACATGCCTTTCACGTTCCTTATGAAACCTTTTGTCAAAAGAAATAGTTATGTTTACTGCAGTCAAATTCATCAATTGTATCTTTTTAAAGTTTTGCTTTTTACATCTTAAGAAATCCTCAACATCACAAAGGTATTTCCAAACACTTTCTTCTAAAAGTTTTCAAGATTTGCTTTATACATGATTTTATTTATTTATTTATTTATTTATCAGAGAAAGAGAGGGAGCACACACAGGCAGGGGGAGTGGCAGGCAAAGGGAGAAGCAGGCTCCCTGCTGAGCAAGGAGTCCAATGCAGGACTTGATCCTCGGACCCTGGGATCATGACCTGGGCCAAAGGTAGACGCTTAACCGACTGAGCCACCCAGCGTCCCTGTAGCCTTTAATCTATCAGAAATTTTGCATAGAGGGTGAAATAAGGATCTAATACTATCTAATATTAGATAGATCTACCCATCTAATGAATATTTAATTCAATCTTCACCCACTAATTTCTAATGCTACCTTTGCTATTTATCAGATTCCTAAATTTTTCCCCCTAGGCTCTATATTCAGTTCTGCTGAGTCAATCTGTCCCTGTGCCAGTAACACACTAATTACTCTAGCTTAAAGTATTAATATATTTCCTCCCCAGAAATGTTGTTTTTCAAATTGTCTTTACCACTCATGACCCTTTGCTCTTGTGTAATTAATAATTTTAGAATGGGCTCACTGTTTTACAAAACCAGTTAGGATCTTAACAGTCATTACAGGGTTGTTTTTCCCCTAAAAATGCCATAGTACCTTTTATGTGTAGTTTATGAAATTAGTTGTATCTCTGAAGTCACAATTTAAATTCTGTCACCTAGCAAATTAAGGACCCAAGGTCCATGGGCTCAGCTTCAAAGAAACTATTAATCTTCCAAATTATATGAACAAACTAGCACAAATAGACAAGTGGGACAGTATCAAACTAAAAAGCTTCGGCACAGCAAAGGAAATAATCAACAAGTTCAAATAACAACCTATGGAATGGGAGAAAATATTTGTAAACCATATATCTGACACAAGCTTAATATCCAAAATATAAAAGGAATGCCTATAATTCAATTAAAATAACCTAATTAAAAAATATGAAAAGGAAATGAATAGACATTTCTCCAAAGAAGACATACAAACAGCCAATAAGTATATGTAAAGAGCCTCAATATCACTAATCAGGGAAATGCAGATCAAAACCACAGTGAAGTATATCATATCTCAGTATGTCTGAATAACCATTTTCAAAACAAAGAAAAAAGAAAATAATAAGTGTTGGTGAGCATATGGAAAACTGGTATCTTTGTGCACTGCTGATGGGAAGATAAAATAGCACAGCCACTGTGAAGAACAGTGGGGAGGCTCCTCAAAAAGTTAAAAATAGAGGGGTGCCTGGCTGGCCCATTCAGTAAAGCATGTGACTCTTGATCTCAGAGTTGTGAGTTTAAGCCCCACATTGGGGGTAGATTACCTAAAAAAAAAATTAAATGTAAAAAAATATTAACATCACTATCATATGATTCAGCATTCCCTCTTCTGGGTATTTTTCTGTAAGAAATGGAAACAGGACCTCAAAGAGGTATCTACACTCCAATGTTTATTTAAAATAGCCAAGAGAGGGGTGCCTGGGTGGCTCAGTCATTAAGCGTCTGCCTTCGGCTCAGGTCACGGACCCGGGGTCCTGGGATCAAGCCCCACATCGGGCTCCCTGTTCAGCGGGAAGCCTGCTTCTCCCTCTCCCACTCTCCCTGCTTGTGTTTCCTCTCTCGCTGTGTTCTCTCTGTCAAATAAATAAATCTTTAAAAAAAAAAAAAAACTAAACAGTCTAAATGTTCACTGAGAGATGAATGAATAAAGAAAATGTGATATATGCACACAATGGACTATTATTTGGCCATTAAAAAAAAGGAAATACTGTCAAATGCTGCAACACAGATGAAACCTGAAAACATGATAGGTGAAACAAAGCCAGTCAGGTGCCTGGGTGGCTCAGCTGGTTAAGCGTCCCACTCCTGATTTCGGCTCAGGTCATGATCTCAGGGTTGTGAGATCGAGCCTTGTGTCGGGCTCCATCCTGAGAGTGGAGCCTGCTTGGGATTCTCCGTCCCTCTCTCTCTGCCCCTACCCTGCCCCCCCCACCCTCGAGCCTGCTCTCTCCCCTTACCAAAAAAAAAGAAAAAAGAAACCCATGCAAACATTAACCACAAGACAGCTGTAGCAAAGTAATCATCAGAACAAAGAGAAATATCAGAATGATACACACAAATGATAAAAGAGTGATTTCACCAAGATACAACAATTCTAGATATGCATGCACCTAACGAACTTCAAAAGACATGAAGAAAAACAAATAGAACTGAAAAGAGTAACAGGCAAGTTCGCAATTGCAGTTGGAGACTTCACACTCCCCTCTCACCTCAGTAACTGATAGAAGATGTAAACAAAGTCAGTAAAGGTATAGAAAAATACCTTGATAAAAGGATAGGGTCAGCTCTTTTCTCAGCTTTTTCACTGGAGGATAAATCCACAATGTCATCCATGTTTTGTAGGCAAGAAAGCTTCTGTTCCTTATTGACTTCATCTTCATTTATCTCAGTCCTTAAAGACTGATCTTTATCTATGAATACAAAATGCATGTTATTCTAAAAAATGAAAACATCTTCTTTTTAAAGCACAAAGGAATTTACATAAAAAAGTGATTTTCCTACAAATCATTAATCCATTCCACATTCAAGTTCCTATATGTAAGGCAGAGATCTTAATTTTAGAACATTAATGAAAAGATAATCAACTTAAAAGTGTGTAAGTTTTAACTGTGTTTTGAGGATCAGCCCAAATTTCCTGAGTAGTTTATAGCATTCTCCTTTTATCTTGCTTAAATTTTAAACAGTTAAAATTATTTGTTCTATATAGCTAGTTAGGAAGCTACAGGCAGACTGGCCTATTCTGCTCCTTCAGAAGAATCATAATTAATACACAGTAACTGCTATCATTTATTTAGTACTTACTAAGTGACAGAAACTCTAAGCCCATCAAATGCATTATCTCATTTAATACTGAAAACAGTCCTATTAAAAGGTGGTAAATCCATCACAGAGAAAAAGAACCTGAGTTCAATATCTTAGGTGACTTACCCAAGGTCATAATGAGCAAACAAAAAAGCTGGAATCTAAACCAAGGTCTGTTTGATTTCCAAAGTCCACCTTCTTAATTACTGAACTATTCTGCTTTTTAGGTAATATCTTTAATGGAAAACCACAAATGAGTATAATATTGTGATGCCTATAAATTATACTCTGCTACTACCACGACTCATTCATTAAAATCATATTGGTAAAACTGAACTACATAAAACTTACATTCTATAGAAAGGTTTTTCTGGTTTGCTACTACCTTCTTCTTCTCTATTTACTTGGTTATCCACTTTAAGTAATCTACATATGAATTCTTAAGAGACTAAAAATGCCCAAATCTCTTTGCCCTCATTCCCTAGCAGATCCTGGGTGTCAAAATGCCTGCATTCTAAGGGAGATATAAAAAAAAAAAATAGAAAAGAAAAAAGAAAGAAAGAGAAAAAAAAGGAAGGAAGGATCGAAGGAAGGAAGGAAGGAGGAAACTGATTTCAGTAGCTCTTTTATAAAAATTAAACAACTAATTGTGGATTCAAAGGTGCTCTGTAGAGGTAGAATATGAACACCTGTGATTTATTAAGATACACAAGCAATATACAGTTAACTATATACATTGTCATGACTTCTAATCAGTTTGGTTTTAAGTAGAAAAAGATCAAGACCTGAGCTGAAATCAAGAGTTGGATGCATAACCGAATGAGCCACCCAAGTGCCCCAGAAACATACTTGAGAGAAAAATTTCCCCAGTTCACTTTGGTTTCTTTACCCCTCAACAATAAACTTCTTTCCTTTAAAAACAAAAGGATTTAACACAGTAACATGAATACAGAATACAAAACTTAAGCGTTACTAGTTGCTACTACTCAGAAGTATTTAATTTACATTTCATACTATAGTACACGTTTTCTCAAGTAATACAGGAACTATTAATATATTTAAGAAACTTACTTTTGTATTTTTCTCCTTTAGAATGACCTAACTGAACAGTGGCATTTCCTGAAAGATTTTTTACTTCCTGTTTACCAACTTCATCCTGATTCTTTCTTCTTCTTTTCTTTTGATTTAGGTTTGGTTCTAATGCAATCTGTTCTGAATCCTGTCCTGTTAAAGTCTGAGACTGTTGTTCTTCTTCAACTATCTGAGCATCCTTTTGAGGTGATTCTGTGTCTGAAATTTTGGTGCTCGGAGACACATCTGGATCATCATTTCCTCCTTCACTGACAACTTTTTTCACTTTGAAAAGCAAAGATATTGTTATAAACATATAAATAACCTATAGAAAAAAATTTTTTAAGATTTTATTCATTTATTTGACAAAGAGAAAGCACACAAACTGGGGGAGCAGCAGACAGAGAGGAACAGGCTCCCCGCTGAACAGGGAGCCCAGCGTGCGGCTTGATCCCAGGACTCTGGGATCATGACCTGAGCCGAAAGCAGACGCTTAACCCACTGAGCCACCCAGGTGCCCCTACAGAAAAATTCTTGAAGACGGAGAAGATAAATACTGAAGGATAACTGGGCAAAAATTTGAAGACAACCCAACACGTCCAACTGGGAATGACTAATAATACACTTACACTATAAAAATCCACACAACAAATAATAATGAGGTAGGCGTATAAGTAGTAATATGAAAGATTTCAAAAAAAATATTGTTGCACAAGAAACTCAAGTTGCAGAAAACATATATAGTATGATCTCATTTTTATTAAGCAAAAACAATTACATATCCTCTAAGACACACATACACTTGAATAAAAGAGTTTACTAATGGTTATCCCTAGAAAATCTGGACAATTTGATTTGAGGGCCGGGTACAAAAGAGAATTCAACAAATTTATTTTCTGCACCATTTGCTTTTCAATGTACAATCTTTTTAACAAATATTTTTAAACAATTTCTAGTGCCCTTTCTATGAAGGCATATTCACAGTTAACTGTATCAAAAGATGAAAACAAGGGGCACCTGGGTGGCTCAGTTGGTTAAGTGACTGCCTTCGGCTCAGGTTATGATCCTGGAGTCCCGGGATCGAGTCCCACATCGGGCTCCCTGTTCAGCAGGGAATCTGCTTCTCCCTCTGAACCTCCCCCCTCTCGTGTTTGCTCTCTCATTCTTTCTCTCTCAAATAAATAAATAAAAATCTTTAAAAAAAAGATGAAAACAATAAATTAAGTTTAAAAAAACAAACGAGAGATCACCATGGAGACATCAACCAAAAACAAACTTAACTTCACAACCATGGTCGATCAAGACATCTTCTCTAAAAATATCTAATCTTAAAAAAATAATAAAATTCAGTGTCATTTACTTTTGTTAAAAAAAGTCATAACAAGATTTTAAAACTGAGAAGACAACACTGGATTCTCTTACCAGAATAACAAACAGTAATTTTTAAATTCTGAGACTTGTAATGATATAACTGAAAAGTTCTCACATTAAGTAAGATACAATGACTTACTTACGCTTTCATCTGTTACAGAATAGTCATGTTAATATATCTATTTTAATCTCTGAGGGCCATGTGTAGTAAGTAAAAGAAATGACTGAAGAATGAAATAATTTTGTAGTTACCAATACTATGTTTAAAATGATAAGACATCATTCTCCAGAAAAAGAAATATTGACTGCTCTGTGCAGAAGAGAGTTAATGTAGCAGGCCTTACTGCTATCCCTTCAAAGTCCTGCTTAAAAGGTTGGCCTTTGGGCTGTGACTGGAAACTTGGGACTTGGGGAGAATTCACACCAGCCCGACAAAAGTGGCCTAAAATGTTTGTACAAACAATGCGGTTTATGCTGAAAAACTATTTTTGTTTTGGGAGTTCTGAAGTCTGGTATGTGCAAGGCAGAGGGTGTCTACATGACCAGCTTCCAATAAAAACCTTGGATATTGAGTTTCCAACAAGCTTTGCTGGTAGACAACTTGTTATGTATCTCATCATGACTTGTTGCTACAGGAATGAAGCATAACCTGTGTGACTCTAGGAGAGAGGATTGGTAAGCTTGCACCTAAATTCCCCTCCACTTGGAGCCACATGTCTTTCCCTCTGCTGATTTTATTCCACAGCCTTTCACTGTAACAAATCTCAGCTGTTTGTACAACTATATGTTGGATCTTGTGACTCTCTGAGCCAATAATCAAACCTAGCAGTAGTCTTGCAGACCCCCAAAGCAAGCTCTTATGGCCCTAGGCTCGAGTCCTGCCTCTGTCACTACTAAAACTGTGAGACCTTAGGAAAAAGGAACAAGATCTCCAGGACTGTTTCCAGGTGACTAAAACAAATGGAAAGGGTCTGGGATGTGGACTACCTAACATACGAAGTTCCCTATAGTTCCATGATTCTTTAAAGTACTGGAATAGAGCTAAACATTGTCCTCCTAGATCAGAATTCAAATAATTAAGAAAATATCTGCCTAAAATACAAATACCTACATATAAACAAGGTTCTACCCAGTACAAGTCAACATTAACCCTCAGAAATAAACTGTGCTCGATATTATACTAAGCGAAATAAGTCAGAGAAAAGACAAGTATCATATGATCTCACTGATATGAGGAATTTGAGAAACAAGGCAGAGGATCATAGGGTAAGGGAGGAAAAAATGAAACAAGACAAAACCAGAGAGGGAGACAAACCATAAGAAACTCTTAATCTCAGGGAACAAACTAAGGGTTGCTGGAGTGGTGGGGGTGGGACGGATGGGGTGGATGGGTGATGGACACTGGGGAGGGTATGTGCTATATGGTGGAGCACTGTGAACTGTGTAAGACTGATGAATCACAGACCTATACCTCTGAAACAAATAATACATTTTATGTTAAAAAAAAAAAAAGGAAAAAAACTGTGCTCAAACAATACAATTCAGTCCCAAGCAGAAGTATCAGAGTTCCATTTTTAAATATTAGAACTTTGTGCCAGGTTTTACAAAGGAAAATGATGATAAATAACCAAACATGACACCCCCAAATTCCAATACTCTTTTATTAGCTACAACTATGCCCTAGATGCAAGAAAGATGTTAAATAGCCCAGCCATGCCAAATATAAAATTTACACAGAAGTACTATTTTGGGTGAGATAACTAAAAGACTGGAGAAAAATCAATTCTCCCCAATGGATGCCCAGATGATCTCAACTACCTAAAGGACATAGGAATGCTGAAAGACTTAAGGGATATTCCAAGTCTATTATTATTAATAGAACACACTTTCTTTTAGTTTACCTTTTACATTTTTCCGTGGTTTAGAAGATTTCTTCTCCTTTAAACTCTGATTTTTAACAGATTTTTGTTTTCTTTTCTCTTCTTCAGCAAGAACTTTCTGAAGCAAATGAGCAAAAAAATCGAAGTCAAAAGGGCGCTTTTCCTCTGTTATAAAAAAAAAAGAAAAAGAACCTTCAAGTTTTTATTTTAAAAAAAGAAAGAATTTTCAAGTATCATGACATCAAAAGCAAATGGGCTTATTAGTAGGAGAATGCGTAACCAACTCTAGTCACTGTAGTAGTCAAAGGAAAATCAAGCAATAAAAAGGAATAAGCTACATTAGTTTAAAAAAATTTAAAAAGGAACTATGTACTGATATAAGTGATATGATAGGAAAATTTCAAGAAGGCAGACATAAAAGAGTACATACTGTATGATGCCATGAATAAGAAGTTCTAGAACAAGCTAAACTAATTAACCTATGATGATTCAAATAAAAACAGTGGTGGCCCTGCATCAAGATAGCTGTGGAATGAAGGGGAGTAAGTCAGAGGGGGAGATGAACCAGGAGAGATAATGGACTCTGAAAAACAAACTGAGGTTTCCGGAGGGGAGGAGGGTGGGGGGATGGGTTAGCCTGGTGATGGGTATTGAGGAGGGCACATTCTGCATGGAGCACTGGGTGTTATGAACAAACAATGAATCATGGAACACTACACCAAAACAAATTATGTAATATATGGTGATTAACATAATAAAAAAATTAAAAAAAATACAAGTTGAGATAAATAAAATAGCATGAAAATATTAGAAATCACTATTGAAAATATCAATAAAATAATAAACCATTAACTAAATAAAGTTCAAAAAAAAAAAAAAGATAGCTGTGGAAACTGACTAGAAAAGGACACGAGGGGCCTTTCTGGAGTGATGAAAATGTTCCATACCTTGTTTTGGGTGGTAGTTACACAGGTATACTCTTTGTCAAAACTCAAACTATAAATTGCACTGTAAGTAAATTATCAATCAACTTTAAGACTAATTAGTATGACTAATTCCTCAAAAGCCTCTCCACATGTCCTCTCTTATCACAACCCTTTCACTATTTACCCTTCCAAGTATCAACAAAGAAGGAAGCAAATGAATTTTGATCAGGACCACTCGCACTAAATACCCAACACCACCATTACATCAGAAAGAGCCATGAACGGGGTGCCTTGCAGTCTCAGTCAATAGACTGAGTCATGGGATTATTGATCTCAGGGTGTGAGTTCAAGCCCCATGTTGGGCAGGAGCCTACTTTAAAAAAGAAAAAGAAAGAGCCATGAACAAACCAGGAATGAATCCATTACAGGAGTCAAATCTTTGCTTAAAATCTACATCTAACAATACAGTGAAGGTAGAAAAAATTATGCTCTATATACATAAGCCCCAAGATTGGTTTAATTGCCTCAGAAAAAGAGGTATATAGGGGCACCCGGGTGGCTCAGTCGGTTAAGCCTCTGCCTTTGGCACAGGTCACAATTGCAGCATCCTGGGATTGAGCCCCGCATTCGGCTCCTTGCTCAGCAGGGAGCCTGCTTCTCCCTCTCCCTCTGCCACTCCCCCTGCTTGTGCTCTCTCACTCTCTCTGTCAAGTAAATGAATAAAATCTTAAAAAAAAAAAAAAAGGAAAAGAAAAAGAGGTATATACATTAACAAAAATAAAGTAGCCTCAAGAAACCAAGCCCAAACCTAGGATTCCTGAAGGCCCTGTTTATTGTGGACCCAGCCTTTTTCTGTTCTGACCATCCACAACAATGATTCTGAAAAATACAGCATTAAAATCATTCTCACAGGATGGGGCACCTGGCTGGCTCAGTCAGCAGAGCATGCAACTCTTAATCTTGGGGTTGTGAGTTCAAGCCCCACAATGGACCTAGAGAGTGCTTAAATAAATAAACTTAAAAAAAAGTAATTCTCAGAGGAACTGAAAATAGAAGTTATATGTAATGTATGGTGATTAACATAATAAAATTAAAAAAAACAGTAAAAAAAAGAAAATAGAAGTTATAAAAGAAAAAAAAATTGAGGTTTTAATTTTTTTTAATTTTCCACCACAAAGCACCCAAATCAGTGAATTTAAGTTATAATGGCTTTAACAATGGCTCCACACCCCCATAAAGACTTTACAGATCTATAGATTCTTTTCTGATTATAATGCACTGAATGTAATGCACAGTTTCAAGACCACCTCTCTGAAATGGAGAAGCTTGACGACCAAAACAATCCAGATCTTCCAGGAGCCATTCCTGGAAGTCGTGTCCCTGAGGACCCACAACAACACTGGGTGTAGAGTCCAGTCATCTACCTTAGTGTCTACTCATAAAATAAACACACATGCTATACAACATCAGTCTTCACTTGAGGTTTTGTTCTGAGACTAGCACTACAGCAATACTGAATACATTTATTTATCATGAAACATTGATAACTATCTTCCAAAGACTATAGGTACTACTTTATTTTTTTTAAATAGGTATCAAACCTTTGTCTGTCTTTTAAGTTTATTTATTTATTTTTTTAGTAATCATTACAACCAACATGAGGCTCTAATTCATGATCCCGAGATCAAGAGTCACAAGCTCTTCTGACTGAGCTAGCCAGGCATCAGGCATTCCTACAGGTACTATTTTAAACAATGCATTCAATTTTGTTTTTCTGTACAGATCTCTTGATGTTTTCCTCTGGACTCAAAAAGAAAAAAAATGTTAATTTCAATGAGGCTATTACTTAAAAGCTGAAAAATACCATTCCTTCAAATCAGGTACAAATTCAGATGCCATCTTTTTAGACAAAACGTTCCTGACCACTCAATCCACACATCCACTCTTCACTCCCTTTTTTCTTCTTCTCAGAAATTACTCACTTTCTGCAATTAACCATGCTTACTGACTTTATCCTTTCCCCCATCCAATTAGACTTACAGCTCTAAAAACAAGCTTCTCATATGCCCTGTTCACCAGTATATTCTCAATGCCTAGAACATTAACTAGCACACAGGAGGTATTCAGTATTGTTAACTGAATGACCACAAGAAGGAATCATCTATAGTACAAGTTCTTCCAGAAACAACTTCTTCTTGAATACAGTTCCCTCAAAATAAAAAACATTTAGAAATGGTATCTTCAGGGGGCACCTGGATGGCTCAATCAGTTGAGCATCCAACTCCTGATTTTGGCTCAGGTCATGATCTCGGAGTTCTAGGATCGAACCCCAAGTCAGGTGCTCAACGGAGAGTTGGCTTGAGATTCTCTCACTCCCTCTCTGCCTCTCCCCCACATGAGATCCCTCCATTTCTCTCTAAAATAAATAAATAAATCTTGAAAAAAAAATGGTATCTTCAGTTCCTTTATAACTTCTGGAACTCAGAGCTCTGCTTACTTGCTTCTTGATGTTTTAGCTTATCCCTTGCCCAAAGATCTGTTTGTTATCAGCTCCCAGACCTGCACTGCTAAAGAGAAAAATCTCCAGCCTCATTCTTCCTATGACAATAAAGAGGCAAAACAAATCTAAAACACAATGGACTAAACACAAAAGATTGGTCATTTTTTAAGATCTCCAAGTGGTATGTTGTAGAAGAGGTCTTAATACTTACGAAAGGCTTTGTCTATTCTCCATCCATTTGTTTTCTCTTCACGTTTAAATTTATTCTGTTAATAAAAGAAAAAAAAAACTATAGTAATTTTCTCCCATTAAAAAAGTGAAGATTAGGGGCACCTGGGTGGCTCAGTTTTGGGCATCTGCCTTCGGCTCAGGTCATGATCCCAGGGTCCTGAGATCGAGCCCCACATTGGGCTCCCTGCTGAGCGGGAGGCTTGTTTCTCCCTCTCCCACTCCCCCTGCTTGTGTTCCTGCTCTCGCTATCTCTGTCAAATAAATAAAGAAAATCTTTAAAAAAAAAAAAAAGGGAAGATTACAGAGGTGCCTGGGTGGCTCATCGGCTAGGCATCAGCTCAGGTCATGATCTCAGGGTCGTGAGATGAAGCCCTGCTGAGGCTCCACACTGGACATAAAGCCTGCTTGAGATTCTCTCTCTCTCTCTCTCTCACATTCCCTCTGCCCCTCCCCCTTGCTCACACATGCATTTTTGTGTGTGTGTGTGTCTCTCTCTAAAAAAATTAAAAAGTGGGGCACCTGGGTGGCTCAGTCAGTTAAGCACCTGCCTTCGGCTCAGGTCATGATCCCAAGGTACTGGGATCAAGCCCCATGTCAGGATCCCTGCTCAGTGGGGGGAGCCTGCTTCTCTCTCTCCCTCTGCTGCTCCCCATGCCTGTGCTTTCTCTGTCTCTCTCTCAAATGAATAAATTTTTAAAAATCTTAAAAAAAAAAAAAGGGATGAAGATTTATACTGAGCTCCCTAAACCTCCTTATAATCAACAGCATAAATCAGCAATGGAAGCTAAGTTTACAGAGAATGTAAAAAAATAAAGTCAATTAGCCTGGTAACAGATCAAACTGTAATCAATTAAGCTAACCAGTATTAGCTTTTTAAAAACTAATATATTCACATCAAGTTAAACATCTTATGTTATTATTCTAATGTTTGTTATGACATGGAGGAAAGACTGTACAGAAACAACTAAGCAAATTTTTGAGTCAGGCAGTTTATCTTTAGTCTTCTTTATATTAAGACACATTTCTTGATTTTCTGAGCACCAAAGAGCACATCATTCTCAGCTGAACACCAGATTAAGATGGAGATGGTTAAAGTTTAAGGTTCCATCCAAAAGTCATTCTGAAGTCTGACAGTATAAGCCTGTGTTTGAGAATGTCAAAAAATGTATGCATATCCTGGAGGAGCAAATAATCACTAATCTCTCCCCCTTCTATAGATCAGTAGTCTAAAAGCTTTTGTTGAAAATACAAAAATCAAACTTTTTATTGGAAAAAAATAAAGAAAAATCACACAATACAAAGCAGCACTTCGTGGCACCCTTCTTCCCTCTGAAAAAGTCTAACCACTAACCTGACTTTAAAAGAACTCACTTTCTTGCCTTTCCTTACTGTTTATCATTCAAACTTTAAACTCTTTAGTTTAACCTTGCCCATTCTTTAAAAACTCCATAGGACTTTAACATATTTTTATCTATAGGTTATCCTTCTTTTCCAGTCTTTATTTTCTTCATAAAACTTATTACCAAGTAACATCAAACTTTTCAAAATCATCTTTCTCCTGTAAAGATTATATTATTCTTTAAACGTCTCGTCAAAAGTTAACCTCCATAAGGCTATCATCACTAAATTAAACATCCTAAGAGAAATGCCAATCAGCTTTAGGCATTATTCAATTTTAAAACATTACTACACCATATTTTACCTAAATGAGAATATAATTGAGAACAATTTAAAACATTTTTAAAAATGTATTGTTATTTCATTGAATTTATAGGCAGGAACTATTCCAGACTAAATTCCATGATCGTAAAATAAATCCCATTATATCCACCTCTAACGCTGATAAAGTAACTGGTTACAGGCTTACTAAACACATCCAACCACACCAAAAATAACTTTACCACAATGGGCGCCTGGGTGGCTCAGATGGTTAAGTGTCTGCCTTCAGCTCGGGTCATGATCCCAGGGTCCTGGGATCGAGTCCCCCATCGGGCTCCCTGCTCCTTGGGAGCCTGCTTCTCCCTCTGCCTCTCTCTCTGTCTCTCATGAATAAATAAATAAAATCTTTAAAAAAAAACAAACTTTACCCCTGAACAAAATAAATGAATCAACTATTTCCAAACACTAGACAATAGCAAGAGCAAAACTACAACTCCACATTTCCAGAGAGAATGGAAACATTTGAGATGTGCCAATGTTCACCCTAGCTCTCTGACTGGGCTACATTTCCTAAACAATGAAAAGGAAATAAAGGCCAAAGGCAGCAGAACTCTCACTGAGCCAAGGAGGTAGAGAATCTTTGGGGGTTCTAGAGAAAAGAGAGCAATTTAAAAGGGGAGCCTCACAAACCTAGCAGAAGTATCCCATGGGTCCTTATTCTATATGTGGGTTCCCCATGCCCAAAGCATGAAGCCTAAGAGAGAACAACTCCTCCAGGAATGACAACAGAAGAAAGATACTAGCAGTCACATAACACAGTGAGGTGATAGAATTCTAGCCCACACAAATGGAAAGTTAACACCCAAACATTTACTCAGAACACCAGAAAAGCCACCTGTTAGAGATAAGGACCAGTCTTAGAGCAGCCCTTCTCAATTGGGGTTCTAGCAGGAGAATTAAACCCTAATGCCCTAAGGCATCCACTGTATGTAATGAATTACCTTCTCTCCTGTACATCTAGAACAATACTAATATGGCGGTCCTTGGAGAACATAGAAAACAGTAATTCAAATTATTTTCTATGATTCAGATGAGAAACCTAGAATATGGACCAGTCTAGATCTGCCTTATTAAAGCCTGAAACCAAGCCTTGAAAGGCAAAGGAGAGTTGGGAGGACATTAGCTACCTTTTAGAATAAAATAACACCCTTTAAAGGAGAACAACAAACATAATCTAGATATTATCAAACATACCAACCACAATGTCTAGTACTCAATTAAAAAAACTACATAAGACATAAGAAAAGATAGAAAAATGTGATACACAAGGAAATAAAAGGAGACTCAACAGAAATAGATCAACATGACATAGATGTTGAAATCAGTAGACAAGAAAGTTAAAGCACCTATTATAAATATGTTCAATGATTTAAAGGCAAATCTAAAATGAACAGATAGGGAAATCTCAGAAGAAAGGAAACTAAGAAAAATAACCAAGTGGAAATTAAAGAAATGAAAAATATAACATGAGAAATGAAGCATTCACTGAATGGGCTTATCTGCAGATTGAAGAAAGCAGAAGACAGGGTCAGTCAACTTGTGAATGCAATAATGGAAACAAACCAATACCAAAAAAAAAAAAATCAGAAAAAAACGAACAGAGCTTTAGTAACCTTAAGTATAATGTTATGCATACTAACACACATAAGTGGAGTCCCAGAGAGCAAGAACAAAGTGGAAAAAATATTGAAAATACACTATCCCTGGGCAAAGCATAAACATACTGTTGAACACCAGAGTTAAAGAAAAATATCTCGAAAACAGCCACAGAAAAACAATTTATCACATACAAGGGAAGAATAACATAAATATGACTGATTCTTCATCAGAAATACTGGAAGCCAATGGACAATGGAATGACAATTTTAAAGCACTGAAAGGATAAACTGTCAAACCACCTGCATATCCAGCAAAAATATCCTGCAAAAGTGAAGCTGAAATAGAGACCTTCAGATAAATCAAAATTGAGAGAATTTTTCAACAGCAGACCTGCCATTCAGACCTACAAGAAGAAATGAAAAACATCAAAACTGGTGGCTAAATATTAAACATGGCTACATATTAAAACTAGTTTCTTTTTTTCTGCTCAATTTCCTTTAAAGATAAAAGACTTTAAGCCAAAATAAGTTGGACATAAAACTGGGTTGTGTAAAAGTGAAATATAGAATAGCACAAAAGAGGAAGGGTAAATAGAATATACCTTTAAGAGTTTATTACTTGTGGAGTATGAAGTATAAAGAGTAAAGTGGTACAAAAGAGAAAATAAAAAATAATATTAAAATTATCTGAATAACCCAAAAGGAGGCAGCAAATGAGAAGTGAAAAACAAATGGGGTAAGTGGAAAATATTGAGATGGTAGACTTAAACCCATTAAGCCGAAGGCAGTCGCTCAACCAACTGAGCCACCCAGGCGCCAACCTAAATTTTCAACTTAAGAAGCTAGAAAAAGAGAAAATTAAAGGCAGAGTAAATAGAAGAAAGGAAAAGTTAAAAAGTTAAAAAAAATGAAAATACACAAATAAATGAAAATGTATAGCTAAAAGTTGGTTCATTAAAAAGATTTTTGGAAGTCAAAATACCCTTAGCAAGACAAAGGAAAAAAAAAAGGGAGAGAGAAGGAAAACATCAATCATCAATGAAAGAGGACTATCCACCACACATTAAAGTTTTCAGTAAACAGTATAAAAACTTCATACCTATAAATTCAACAGCTTAGCATCAAAACTGACACAAGACAAAACTGAAAATCTGAGTATACCTATAGGTATTAAAGAAATTGAATTTATAATCAAAATTCTTCCTGCAAAGAAAATTACAGGCCCAGATGGTTTCACTGTTGAATTCTATCAAACATTAAAGGTGAAATACCACTAATCTTAAATTTGTTCACATAAAAGAGGGAACATTTTCCAACTCATTCTCTATGACCAGCATAATCCTAGTACCAAAACATTTTGGACAAAGACATTAAAAAAAATTACAAAATATCCCTCATGAACAAAAATGCAAAAAAACCCTCAAGAAAATACAGTAAAATTCAACATACAAAAAGAATAATACAAGTTTGGTTCAACACTTGAAAATCAATATAACTGACTAGTCCATTTTTACTTTTCTATACTTTGCCCAAAGACCTGTTGAACTATACTAAACTTAGGGGAGGAGTCTAAATAATTTTAGAGAGAAATAGTCTAGTGACAAACTTATCATTAATTACTCAAATCAGATAGCTCCCCTAGACCGTCAATTTCTAGTGTTAGGGCACCTGGGAGTCTCAGTTGGTTAAGCGACTGCCTTCAGCTTGGGTCATGATCCTGGAGTCCCGGGATCGAGTCTCACATCAGGCTCCCTGCTCGGCAGGGAGTCTGCTTCTCCCTCTGATCTTCCCCCTGTCATGCTCTTTCTCTCTCTTTCTCAAATAAATAAATAAAATCTTAAAAAAAAATTTCTAGCTTTAACACTTTGTTTTCTTTACAAAGATCAACATTAGAAAAGGAACATAAATAATATAAACAATTCTTCATCTTTTGCAGAAATAGAATGACCATTACATTGTACATGGTCCACAGGCGAAGGATCCATGCCCGGTCTAGTTCAAGAAAAAAAAAAATCTATCCTAATATTCTTTTAATTAATGAAGAAAAAAACCCATGGTTGAATAAGATGTCATCATAAATTGGAAATGCATTACAGCAACATAGTGTGCACTCAAATGCACTCGATTCCAGGAAACTTGTAATTTTCTTTTTTTTTTTTTAAAGATTTTATTTATTTATTCATGAGAGACAGAGGAGGAGAGAGAGAGAGAAGCAGAGGGAGAAGCAGGCTCCCAAGGAGCAGGGAGCCCGATGCGGGACCCTGGGATCATGACCTGAGCCGAAGGCAGACACTTAACCATCTGAGCCACCCAGGCACCCAACTTGTAATTGAGTTTCTCGCAAAAAGAACAATAAAACAGAGAATGCTCATTCTTTCAGGCATATTAAAGCACTAATTCACACCACTGCTGTTGTTAATAGTGTCCCTGACTGTCCAAAAAGTTAAGGTAGCCTAGAAAAACAATGGTTAGTTCAGATAAAGAGAATTACTTAACTTACCATGCTTCTCTTCATGCCTTCCGAGGAAATTCAGAAACACATTGTGTTCAGAAGCTACCCTTAACCCAAATATTCTGGTACATTTATCTTCTCTCCTCATCACTTAGCTCTTCTTTTATCTTAATTTCTTTGGTTTTATTGGTACTCCCTCAAATCCATTTTAGAAGTGGGCAACATATCAATAATATGCTAAAACCAAGGAGACTCTACTCATATTACAATTAATATTTCATTACTTTCTGAGCTATACAAAGGGAAAGATCTACCCAAAACATTGTAGTGAAAAAGGATGGACTGAGATTTAAATAAAAGTTAAAAAAAATAGTATTAGTAATTTTTGGCCCTTTTCCAATCAATGAATGTAATGCGTTTACTTTACCTTAATTTCTATCCTTGCTCTGTGAGGAAAAAGCTGTCCGATCATAGAAAAGTCAGTTCCTACCATGCTGATGGCTAAAAAAAACATATCTGTTTCTGTAAAAATATTTAGAAAGAATGAAAATTAATCTCAGTATGTCAGAGGAAAAAAATCTTAGATTAAGTATATATTTTGAGTTAAAAATAAATTTGAGAGTACTTAATAGTATTTAGGAAATCTTTAGTCAATTTTATTGCAAAGAACTTCATGAATCTCAAACATCTCTAAACTTTTATACAGGAACATGATAAAAGAAATTTCTATGTTCATACCAAAGCAGCTGGAATAAAAAAAAAAAAAGACAACGACAATAACATTCTGCCTTCTGGTCTCAAAGTAACCAAACTGTCAGTCATAGCCAGTATATTACTGCTTTAATGGAAGCAACTGAGATGTGCTAATTAGTATGCGAAAGAAAGTAGCTAGAAAAACACATAAGAAACTACTAATAGAAGTAACCTCAACAGAATAGGACTGCGGAAGTGAAAGGAGGGAAGTATAGAATCTTTCCTGTTGCCCTGTATTATTCTGTTGTTTTTAATTTTTTTTCTCAAAACAACTTGCATTATTTTTATAAGAATAAGCAATACCATTCGTAGGTATTACATGCTTTTTTAACAGCCTAATTTTTACCTTTACAAACATTATTATACAATGAAGGTATAACATTATTATGAGTATTAAAACTATTAATAATTTTCCACAAAAATTTTGTTTTTTATACAGGGATTTGACAGAGAGGAATATTCCAGCCCAAACGACCATAACGCTAATTCCTAAAAACATTACTAAGATAAAGCCAGAGATATAGTTCTATGGTATCGGGAGAGGCAACCCCACTGGAAGGTGCCAGTAAAATTAGCTAAAGAGAAAATAACATGGTTTGTGTTTTATTTACTTACAGAAAATTATTCACTTTATTTCAAATAAATAACCTACACAATTTAAATGAAAATTAGTGGGGCGCCTGGGTGGCTCAGTCATTAAGCGTCTGCCTTCGGTTCAGGTCATGATCCCAGGGTCCTGGGATCAAGTCCCACATCGGGCTCCTTGCTCGGTGAGAGGCCTGCTTCTCCCTCTCCCACTCCCCCTGCTTGTGTTCCTGCTCTCGCTAACTCTCCCTCTCTGTCAAATAAGTAAATAAATTCTTAAAAAAATAATAATAAATAAAATGAAAATTAGTTACCTTTATTTGACCATGGTTTAGAGTAATAGTTTTTCCTAAAGCTGGAATATGTAGTTGTAGAACCACGCTCAAATATGGGGTCATTTTCCTCAACCACACAGGGGCCTTTTGTCCTTAAAACTTCTACAGTTAAACTGAAAAAGACACATTTTTAAATAGATCTGCACTAAAAACAGAGAAAAATAATAAATGATATCTGAATAGTTATATTTTGAAATTTACCATGGCAGAATCATATCAAAAGTATAACATATGAGGTATGCATATTTTCTAAGAATCTGCTAATTTTCACTTAAAATGCGATTGCCAAGGAATAAAAATAAATGCCAACATTTTTCCAAAATCCTTAATAGCAATATAAAATTTACACATTATCTTTGGGCCACCAAAAAATTATTTGTTTTATTAACTTGTGAATGTCTCCTATATTTAATATATATTTTATCATGCTAGACCCAGCAGAAAATATCAAGAAATATAAGCATTTGATATTTATGTTCTATGTTTCTATACACAAAGCAGTTCAATACTTTTAATTATTTAATGACCAGTAAAATCATCATCACAATATAAAACACACAAAAACAATTACTAATAGTATTGCATTAATGTTTAATTATCATAGAATTTTACATGCTATAAAAAGATTTTTTAACTAAACTGTCGGAAGACTTTCTATCACCCTTTTTTATTTACTTACTACCTGTGAATTTATCTTCTTTTTAAAAAAACATACTTTGGACAAACAACAAATTCCACAATGCCAAATTTGAAAAATTTAATGTTATAACTGAGAAATTAAAACTACAAGGTGAATTAAACCTTGTCCTAACAGAAATCATAGAATATTAAACCTATGATTCACTGCATTTTCATTACTTATTACCAAACAACAAAACATGGTATTAGTCAATAATATGAAAACCTGAATTTTGACTTCAAGACTGAATCAATTTTTGAAATCTATCATCAGTAGAGGCCAGCATATGATTAGTTCAGTAGCTCATCCCAATTACCAGTAAAGTTAGTAAACAATGGTGGTAGGTTAATGGATGACAGATCAGTAGTACCATCTTCTCATACAAAACATAGCATAAAAATTCCTAGAAATTATAAATGAATCTAACTCACTTTTCCATTTACGATACCCATCAGAAAAATATAAATATCAGTGTCTAAGTGACAATGCCTGATGCAGAAACTCTCTCTCTCATTAAACAAAGCACATTTGTTCTCAGGTTTTTGAAAACCACAGTCTTTTTTTTTTAACTTACCTTTCTTCATCCAAAATAATGGAACCATCTTCTGCCACTTTTACTCGAGGAACCAGCAATGGCCCGTCATCTACCTCTTCTTCTAGTTCTTCATTATCTGCCGGATCAGGAGTACTCTTACCTTCTTGCCTACCAAATGTAAAGATAAGTTAATTCATATATCCATGAAAAGAGGTAATTTTCTGAATACTACGAACTTGTGAAGTAAATTACTTCAAATCCTACCTTCTATTTATTTCCAACTTTCCCTATAACCTAATTGAAAATATTACATGTTAAGGACGGGGCTATAAGAATTTCTCTAATTTTATCCGGTAGCACTTAGTAAAAAGCTTTTACTCACTTTTGAATACAGAGGAACAAATTCTCATCTTTTCTGTCTCAACAAAGTATCAGATAAACCAAATAGATAATGGGCAATTAACAAAAAAAAAAAAAAACCTTAGTTATAAAGCATTAGTTTCCAGACCATTTTATTAACTCTTCATAACAATCCTTGGGCATTAGTATTTTCCCTTTTCTCTTAAGATTTTTAAAATTTATTTATTTGAGAGAGAGAGCACGAGAGGAGGGGAGGGAGAGGGAGAAGCAGGCTTCCCGCTGAGCAGGTGGGGCTTGATCCCAGGACCCCGGGATCATGACCTGAGCTGAAGGCAGATGCTTAACCAACTGAGCCACCAGGTGCACCAAGCATTACTATTTTCAAACCAATTTGAGGTTTGCAGTAGATAATCTTTGCTCTAGATTACACAACAGTAAAGGCAGACCAAGAAGCTAAATACAGTTTTCCAGATAATAACTCTAAATCCCATATACCTTCCATTCAACTACATCATCTCCTTAAGGTTTTACAGAAGCAAACATAACCCATAAATCTGTAAAAATACAACCTATTACTAAAGTCTGAGAATTCTGCTTTAAAACAATATAAATTCTAAGCAGAACAGCAATCATAACTTAACAACCTCTGAAGTAACAACCAGAAAATCCCAATGTTTCTGGCAATTTTCCATAATCCCCCCCATCTTGAATTAAAGAACTATAGTAACTTCCCAGGAAGCCTCTTGGAGACATTTCCTACTAGTAAGTGACCATTACTGTGCCGTGTGGAAGGCAAAAAGAAGCTTGTACATCTCTAGTGGCATCAAAACTATAAAAAGAAAAGAAAGGAAAGGAAAAAGAAAAATATATACATGCTTGTTTAGAGAGACACAGAATGGAACTAGAATGATACGTTAAAAAATCGGTAACATTTGTTGCCTCCACAGAAGAACAAGATGACAGAAAAACAGATCTGGAACACTTTTCTCAGTATACTTTTGTTCCATGTGGTTTTTATACCATTGTATTAATTATTCTAAAACAAAACAAAATCCTTTTTAATTCTAAAAGCTTTAACCAAAATCATACCACTGGCCATTTCCATATATAATACATAAACAGCGTGGATCTTTCATTTTGATTTAAATCAGGCATTAACTTTTATTCTTGTTACTCTATTTAAATATTCCTATCACATGTAACTTGACTGTAACAAAAAACATTATTTGATTTCATTTTTTAAAAACTACCCACCAAAGAATTTATTTAAAGAAAACTGTAAGATAAATGCTTACTCTCTTGTCTGGACTGGTGTCAATGATTTTTCAGTTTTCTTTTCTTGCTCCAGTGAAGAACTAACAAATAAATAACATTTGTTTTTAAATATGTAAAAAGATTTAATATTTAATATAAAAAATACTTTTAAGTAATTTGCACATGTCTCTTCTATCCATTAGCAAGAAAGAAATTATTTTAACTTGCTTTTAAAATTATACACCATAACATCATTATTAATGACAGTGTGTGGTCCAAGAGTCAATTTCTCAGTCAAAAATTCTGTCATCAAGCATAAATAGTTTGCTACACCCTAAGTACGGAATGTTTTTACTCTCTAATTCCTTAGTGAAGGGAGACTCTCTCAGTCCTGAGGCCTAAAGCAACCTACACATGGCTTTTCTCTATGTCAAATAACGCAAAACCTAGGTTTTTGGCCCTTCCTTCAAAAGGACAACCTGAAAAAGACTATAATGAAAACATGCCAGTATTATTCCTACATCCACCTGCTAAACCATGAAGAACATAACACTGAAATTTATTATAAACTGTCTGCTTCTCCAGGCTAACTTTGATTAAAGAAGCTTTGTTCTTGGAGGATTTATTAATCAAATGCCACTATATTTAATTAGGAGGTAGGGCATAAAAATTAGACCATTCTTTTAGAATCAGGTTATAGTGTACAAGAAAGAGAATCTGTAATACTGATTAGAGAAAAATTGTTTAGTTGGTTTTACAACAACTTAGTAATATAAGAAACTTACTTTTTAATTTCAGAGGTAAAGGATACCATCCCAAGAAAGCAGTAACCTGAAATACCACTAAATTTTGTTAAAAAATTCTCTCTAAAAGAACATCGTATGTGCTATAAATTTTGTCAACATGCTTTTGGAAAACATTGAACCTCTAAGAATGATACTTAAAGCACTACATACTCAAAGAAAGGAAAAAAGTAAAGTTTACTTACCTCATTGGATTGTTATCTGGCAGGTAATATATGAAATCTCTCATAGTCATTTTTGAACGATCTGGTGGCTTCTGACTTTCATTTATGGCATATTTGTTTTTCCATTGCTTCTAGACACACAAACACAAACAAAAATCCACTTTTATTCTTCAAATACAGAAGAATTTCAAATGTTCTATACACCAAGGTATAGCTCACTGTTGCATTCATTCCAAGTGATTTAATATTATTCCTACCACAATTATTCCTAATTTAAGGAAAATTTTTCTTTTTTTTAATGCTTTTTCTTTTTAAGATTTTTTTTTATTTATTTATTTGAGACAGAAAGAATGAGAGAGAGAGCACATGAGAGGGGGGAGGGTCAGAGGGAGAAGCAGACTCTCCGCCGAGCAGGGAGCCCGAAGCGGGACTCGATCCAGGGACTCCTGGATCATGACCTGAGCCGAAGGCAGCCGCTTAACCAACTGAGCCACCCAGGCGCCCTTAAGGAAAAATTTTCTAAAGTGAATATTAAAAAGTTGTAGCACAACAAGGAACCTTAAAAACTAAAGTGTCTAGGACTGGACAAAAGCTCAATGTATAAATCTTACAAATGTCTTCTAACGACAAGAGTTTACTAAGAATTTATAAACATACAGCTTTTGTTTACCCTGTAGTGAACTAGATTTGTGAATTTTATAAAATTCTTGAAGCAAATGTTTAATTTTTTAATTCCGCAGAATAAATTTACCTAAGCAGATTCAATAAACAGAACATTTTGAAATACTTCAATTTTAGAGGATATAGATTCAAATCCCACTGATGTTTGACACAAAGCAAGTAACCTCCATGAGCCTATTTCTGTGTAAAATAGTGTTATCTACTTCACAAGTGTGATAGAATTAAATAACAAATATAAAGCACGTTAAGTGCCTTCCTCTTAATTAAAAAGGGCATTTTGTAATTAAAAATAAGAGCTGACATGTATTTGCCAGACACTAGTCTAAATGTGTTTTACATGTATAAACTCATCCGATCTTTACAACCGTCCAATGAGATACATACTATCATCAGTCTTATTTTGCAGATGAGGACACAGAAAAATTAATTAAATTGTGCAAGGTCACATAGTAAGGAATTACTCCCAAGATTCAAATCTTAAGTATCTAACTGCGGATTTACATGCTTCACTATTGGTACAGTGCCCTCTTGGAAAAATAATCTTCAAGATTAAAAAGAAGATGGACAAAAAAAAAAAAAAGATGGACTCTACTATACACATACGAGCATATTTTTCCCATTTATAATTTCCATACTGTCAACTTAGAAAATATTATCAATTCATCTTGCTCAAGTATACTTGTCTTAATTCAAATAAATATAACTCATGTCACTTGGACATCATGAAAAATCAGATTGAAGGCTTATTTTATAAATATGCTTTGTATATTTTTCTATATATGTATATGTATAGAATTTCTATTTGTGGCCTTCACCAAAAACAATGAAAGATATAGATGAATATATAAAAATTAACATAGTGGGGGAAAAAGCTTATTAAGTCCATTGGGCTTATTAATCAGTTAACAAAAGGGATATTGACTATTCAATTACAGACCTACCTATACCCCTGAAACAAATAATATGTTAATAATAAAAACAAAAACAAAAAGGATATTGATTATGCTCCATTAAATGCTATAGATATTTTTACTCCAAATGATGCCTTATTAACATAAAAACAGAATTCTAGCAGGGACCAGTCAAAATGTGATTTTTGTCTCCCTTACCTTCTCTTTTCTTAATTCTTCTTTTAACATTTCTCTTAGTTTCTGGGCTTTATATAATCGGTATCTGTCTGAACATGGTTGTTCCTCTTTTGTTGAAACAGGGTTTGGCTGTGGAACTTCTTGATTAACTGTAGATAAGGGATGAGATTCTGAAGGAACATTGACACCAGGCTTAACCAGAGTAGGAGTACTTGATATTCTCTTTCTTCTCTGTGAAACAGTAGAGGAAGATTTACTGGATTCTTCAACATAATTCTCACTGTCAGTCTTTTCATCACTGTTGAAATTTTAAAAAAAGAAAAAAAAAGGGGGCACCATGGATCTTTCATATTCTAGTTTCAAAAAACTAGCCTGGTGAAAATCTAGAACAGTAGAATCTCATTATTAAAAAAAGATCAATAACTTGAAATATACATTAATCATGAGACTGCAATAAAAATTTTATTTAGTAAATGTTTTTAACAGATATATAAATTCTAAAAAAAGGTTGTTTTTTTCCTAAACTTCAAGTCCCTTACAGCAATAGAACATATTATTTCATGCTCATGCTAACTCTTTTAAGGAAAACAAAAGGCCAAGTTAGAAATTAAAGCTTAATTACCCTATTTTGAGCCACTGACAACTGTTTTTCTTTATAATCTATATTGACATCCCCCTGAACTGATCTATATTACTGAAATTTTACTCTATCAACCTGAGATCAGTCAAACCAAACATACAAAACTTTAAACTTCTAAAATATCTCTACTACAGTATTTGAGAATATACATTTAGCTACATTAATCAAACCAAATATTGTCTGAGGCAGAAGTCAATTATCTTTTTTTTTTTAAAGATTTTATTTATTTATTTTACAGGGAGAGACACAGCGAGAGAGGGAACACAAGCAGGGGAGTGGGAGAGGGAGAAGCAGGCTCCCCACTGAGCAGGGAGCCCGACGTGGGGCTCGATCCCAGGACCCTGGGATCATGACCTGAGCCGAAGGCAGACGCCTAACGACTGAGCCACCCAGGCGCCCAGAAGTCATCTATCTTTTGTTGGTAACTAGTTACACAGCTATCAAACTCCTCACTCAACAAAAGTACTCAGTCACTCCAAATTACATATTAGGTATAGCTCAGATTGGATATACATATTTCAGGAATGGCCTGAAAGCAAATTAAGTCAAGAAGACAAAGGGTATAAGAATTAAAAGCAGTCAGGGCACCTGGGTGGCTCAAGTCGGTTAAGCGTCCGCCTTGGCTCAGGTCATGATCCCAGGGTCCTGGGATGGAGTCCTTCATCAGGCTCCATGCTCAGCGGGGAGCCTGCTTCTCCCTCTACTTGCTGCTCCCCCTACTTGTGCACCCTCTCTCTCTCTGACAAATAAAAATTTTTTTTAAAAAGTGGAAAACGCCTAGACCTATAGGATAACCTTTCCAAGAAATCTCCATTTTTTTTGAAGTTTATTATTTTTTAGTAATCTCTGCACTCAGTGTAGGGCCCAAACAACCCCAAGATCAAGACTTGCATGCTCTTCCGACTAAGTCAGCCAGGCACCCAAAGAAATCTCCAATTTAAATTCTTATCTCAGCCTTTATAACATGATACATGCACCATGTGCATTTCACCCAATTATGTTGAAACCATAAGGACAAAACATACGTCCTATGTTTTACAACTACAAAAACCCATAAAAAAGAAAAACGGAAGGTAAAAAAAACAAATATACTCCCTAAATGCCAACTGTAAGAAACCAAATATCCTCAACCTCAAATGTCTCAAGACTACAGAACCTGAGTAATTTATTAAATTATCAAACAGCACGCACTTATATGTAGTTAACAGGATCTGGGCAAACTTTATTAACAGGGACTGATATTTGTATTTCTTTTTTTAGGAGAAATTTTGAAAAAGTATTCATATAAGAAACTTGGAGATTACCAAGCATCACTAAGCTGGCAAAATAACACCCTATACCCAGCACCAGTATAGGCCAACAAAGTTTGGCCGAAAAGAAAGGGATAAAATTTTCACCTTCCTGTCAGAGCATACAGAGAATTTATACCAGCTCATTGTCATTTAATAGGGTCGGGTTTAATTGCTTTCCTCACATTCATATTACAGAAACAGAGGTTATTAGTAGACCAACATGTCTTAACTTTAATTACTTTGTTAATTACTACCATCGCATTTATTTTAAACAAATAACTTTTTGTAAGCAACTATTCTGTCATGTCCTATGCAAGATAGTTTGTCAGTTTTTTCTAAACTCCACAATAACTCTCCAAAGCGTGTAATATTATCTCCATTTTACAGTAAGTAAATTCTGCCTGGCCAAGTCTAATAAATTGCTAAATTAAGAAAAAAATCCTGAATCCAAATGTGGTACTGGCACATGCTCTTCCCTTCAGAAAACAAGGCCACTATAAAGGGGCATGCCATCAAATCAAAGCAAGTAACCACATCTCCTTTCCACTGACTCGAAGCAGCAGAACCAAAATAACATTGGTCTTCTAAGAATAAATGAATGTTTTAAAATTTTTAAAAACTACTTACCCTCGTCAAAGTACTCCGGAAGAATAAAAATTACAGTAATCTAAGCTAATGAACATTACCATGTGTGGATGTTTTTCACTTCAAAACTGTTACATGTGGATTCTTCCCACCACACCTTGAAGACACGGTCCCCACTCCGAGAATCTACAAACCTTAACAAAATCCACATTTGCCACACCTTGTGGACAGAGCGACAAATTGCAGACGAGAGGAGGTTCATAGGGCCTCAACTCTAAGGCTTAATGCAGGCGACGGAGGATTCCTATGGTAAATTCATCTCGTCAGCTTCCAAGTGACAGGCCCAGAGAGGCAGGGCAGATGAAAATGCTCCCCTCTGCATGCACTTACCTGCTCCTGGGAGCCTTTTCTTGGGGCTCGGATCCCCCGCAGTCCACCAAGGGCACATCTGTAGACTCCGCTGGCTTCGGGGAAGAGGCCGCTGCAGGATCCTGGGGCCTCGGAGCCTCTTGTCCACGTTGGGGGTTGGGAGCGGTTGAACCCCTGGCGCCTACACCAGGCCTGACATTCGGCTTCACGCTAAGGCGTGCCCTGCGGAACATGGCGGAGCCAGGGGGCCCGGGGAGGCGGCCCCAGGGCCGCTCTCAGCCCCGAGCCCCGGCCGCTGCCCGGAGAAGGGATTAAGAACTACGCCCTTTCCACACAGCCACGCCAACAGGCCAGCGGACAGCTACCGCAGTTTCTCACCCCCGCCGCCTCCTCCTTCCTCCCGCCGCCGCCTCTTCTTCATGACCCTGCTACACTAAGAGCTAAGTTTCCCCCAGTACCTTGCTTCCCCGCCCTCATAGGGAGGGCGCCGGAACTGAGTACGCCATCAGCCAGCGCCGCGGAAGAACGTAAGACGCACATCTCCCGGAGCCATGGTAACTGTCAAACTATAGAGTTACTTGTGAACCGGAAATTGGGACGCACGGTGAACCGCTCTCCCCTCATTAGGAATCCCTAGGAGTTACTGAAAGGAGGGCAAGGAGGTAGTCAAGTCCTTCAGCCCAAATCTTTAGGAGACTATTAAAATCTTGGGGTACCTAACTGGCTCAATCAGAAAAGCGTGGGACTCTCGATCTTGGGGTCGGGAGTTTGAGCCCCACGTTGCGGGTAGAGATTACTAAAAAAATAATAATAAAAACTTAAAAAAAAAAAAGGTCTTGTATAGTAGTGCCTGTTCACCAGCACACCCCCAGAACTTAGAAATTCTAAATTGAGTAGAACATAAATTACAAATTCAGGTGTGAAGAAACTGGTAAATTATTTCCTAGAATGGGAGCTAGGTTTCTGGAACATGTCGTGGGAGGAAGACCATTCACTGTAAACCTTTGTGCCCTTTTAAATATACCTGTTCAAAAATTATTATAGTTAAAATTATATAGTTACAGTAAATTAGTGTTCTTAATCTGCTTCAGGAGATAGCAATAGAGCAATAAACAAGGTGTTCCGGGTTGGGGAGAAAAAAATACAACAAAAGAACAATTTAAGGATTTATTAAATGCTATGAAACAAATTTAAAGGGTACTATGACAGGGGCACCTGGGTGGCTCAGTTCGTTAAGCATCTGCCTTCCCCGAGGGTCATGATCTCAGGATCCTAGGATCCAGCCCCGCATCCAGCTCCCTGCTCAGCTGGGAGCCTGCTGCTCCCCCTACTTGTGCTGTCTCTCTCTGTCAAATAAATAAATAAAATCTTTAAAAATAAATAAATGGCACTATGACAGAGATTAATGGAAGGCTGGGTTACTTTAGGTAGTAAGTACTTTAGGCTTCTATAAGGTCAGGAAAAATGGCCATAGATGAGGTTGGCCCCACACAGTATGGGCCAGGTTTTGAAACTGCAATATAAATTCCCTGACTCATTGCAACAGAGGGCCCGACTTCCTTCTTAGAAGGACAATATTTTACAAGAACATCCTGCTTGCTACGTTGATAACAAAATGTCAAATGAATTAAATCCTTTATTAATTAATCCTTGCTATGTCATCAAAAAGGAGTAAGAAAGGCAAGTGTTTTTGAGAGTAAGATAACAAGGATAGAAGCACAGAAGAGAGAAGAAATTCCTCTCAGACTGTAAAGAAATTGGAGGTCTGTGGATCCTGTGGGCTCCCTCCAATACCCTGGGGGAGGGACCAGGACATCAGATACACCTAGAGAAGCTCAAGAATTTGACAAAGAAACCCCTACTAAAGATGTCTCAGGAATCTTGGAGCCGCTACCAGGACCACAGAGCTTTGCACAATATATTCTGGTACAATGACACATTGCCTTTCTCCAAATGTTCTGTTCCACCTAAGAATCTAGGACATTCCCACAATTCTGTACATAAGGCAGTCAATAATGACAAAGATTTAATTTCTCACTAGTATAAACATGGGAACAAAGATTTAATTTTGTTATTAAATATAAAGTCAGGCGCACCTGGGTGGCACAGTTGGTTAAGCGTCTGACTCTTGATTTCGGCTCTGGTCATGATCTCCAGGTCCTGAGATTGAGTCCCGGGGCGGGGCTCTGCACTCAGCTTACAGTCTTACTTGTCCCTTTCCCTCTGCTCCTTCCTCCACGAGCTCGCTCTCTACCCACCCCTTCTCTCTTTCAAGTAAATAAATAAATAAAATCTTTAAAAATGAATAAATACAAAGTCCTAAGATATTTGTTACACAACCAAGTTTGTGGAGTAAATTCATAATGGCATCACAGTAATTTCAAAAGTCTTCAGTTTTCTCTGGCAGACACACCCAACATTTCTTGTGTACATCATATGTAATCCTACAACTCACAAAGTATATTTGCAGCCCCAAAGAAAAAGCTCAATTAGACTGTAAATTAAGACCACACACAGAAATAACAATGCTACCACTTACCTTCCAATCCCAAAGTGCTTCTTTCCCTTCTTTATGAGCCAGGCCAGAAAGTCAATCTTTTCCCCCTGCTCGTTACTCCAAAAGTTGCTTAAGTGGAATTAGACATAAGCACTATTGAAGAGAGGTGGGGCTTAAGGAGAGTGACAAGCACACAAGGCTCTCTGAGGTTAAAAGAATGACAATAATAGGTAACTTACTGAGGGCAACCATATACTGGGCACTTAGTACTTCACATACATTAATTCAGTTAATTAAGGAGGTACATTTGCCTTCCCATTTTACTGGTAAGGGAGCTTTACTGCAATGAAGTAACATGCCCAAGTTCACATATCTACTCATTGGTAGAGCTGGGCTTTCAACCAACACATTCCATTTCCAGAATTCTAAGTCTTCACCACTTTCTCCTACCTTCTCTAAAATAGGTGATTCTTAGGAGTTTAACATTATTGAAGCTTGGTCATATATACTGAGAGTGCATTGTAGTATTTTCTATACTTTTGTATATGTTTGACATTTTCCAAAATAAGTCTTCTAGAAACACGGCGATTGGGGGGGGGGGGCACCTGGGTGGCTCAGTGGGTTAAGCAGCAGACTCTTGGTTTGGGCTCAGGTCATGATCTCAAGGTCCTGGGTTGGAGCCCCAGCAACTTGCTTCCCGCTCAGAGGGGAGTCTACTTCTCTCCTTCTCCCTCTCCCTCCTCTTGTGCTCTCTCCCTCTCTCTCTCTTAACTAAATCTTTTTTTAAAATAGGGCAATTTTACGGTGTACAGACTAACTCTACACATTTATCAGTTTGTAATAATTAACGGGATAGATGAAGAATATAAGTATTAACCAATAGGCATCTTCCCACGTCTGTTTCTAGCTATGGCAAACGCACGACGGCTTTTACTCAGGTTCCAAGGTTATCCTGGGCTATTAGGAATGTGTGATAAAACTGCATTCCCTGCCATTCCCTTCACATCACACAACCCAAGCACAGAGCCATTAACCTAAAACTCCTAAAATACTGTCGACCATGACAAAGACACTGGGATCAAACGGGAAATGAAGAGACTTAAGAGTGTCTTAAATTCGATCTCACTTCTACAAGTCCCTACCTGTTAGGTCAGTCGCTCCTGGACTCAGAGTCTCAATCTCCTCTTCGTAAAATGCGAACAACGAAGCCTACGTTACAGGCTTGGTGCAGGAATAACGAAAGAAAATATGTAAAGAGCCAAACTGACTTCTGCAGAGTTAACCCTCAATCTGTTTTGGCCCCTTCCTCCTCTTCCCGCTTCTGCAAGGGATGAATAAACGTTAACGTTCTTTGTTGAAAAATGAGATATAGTAGCATTTATTGTTTTTGTCGTTTCCAAAAAATGGAGGCTGGCCAGGCCCCAGTGTTGGGTATACAGTAGGTAAAATCCACAGACGCGGGACCTGCTTTGTAGACTCGACCGTACTTCTGTGGCCGAATAACCCCAGAGAGCGGATTAATCTTCCCGACCTGCGGGTCCTGGACCCTTGGCGGGGTCCGCCCCGCCTACCTGGCAGCGCACGCGCAGTCGCTCGCCTGGCTCGCGGGCGGCCGCAGTCAGGCCGCGGTGGGCGGGGCCATGAAGGAGGGGAGGTGTTGCCCCGCAGAGGGCCCGCGAGGGCTCAGCCTTTAAGGGCCGCCAGTGGGGACGACCGCTGAGCGTGTTAGGAGGCCGTTGCTTTCCCGAGGGGCTCTCTTCTAGGCTCAGTCCGGTGTCAGCATGGCCCGTGAGTGTGCGGACGGGTGGGAAACGCGGCGGGGAGCGTCCGCTGAGGGAGGCTAGCTCCGAAGCGCCGCTGGACCGGAGGCGGGGGCTGGCTGGTGTATCCCCTTCGGTCCGGCGGCGCGCGGACCCTGTTCTCAGTCCGCAAAGGGAGAGGAAAGGTTAGCTTCGGGTCCGCCTGAGAAATCGGGCTAGTACCTGAAGGTGCGAGTTTACACGGTAAAGAACAGCTCTCCGAAGGTGAGGTGTGTGAGGACGGCAGTCCCGGGAGGCATCCTGTTCTGAAAGGGGTTTCTAGCTGGTACTTAAGGTCCTAAGGCCTGATGAGGACTGGAAGCTCCGACTGAGTCTCCTCCCTAGGTCTTTTGTTTGGCCCTTACAGGTGGTTTCTCGAATAGCCGCATTTGTTCGCCTAACAGTCGAATTGTGATGGACCAACTTAAGGAGCTGTGTTCCCTGTGTATCTATCCTTTCCACTCACGCTTTTCAAAAGCTAGACCTTAATTTGGAATACTGACCCGTATAGACTGAGGAGTGGAATGAATGCCTGGTATTTACAGCCAGTGAACACATTCACTGGTATAATATTCTTAAGTGTTTACTTCCTCCTCGTCAGATACCGCAACAGCAGCGTTCAGCGTAATTACTCTGCTGGGAGTATCTGTTAAAAAGCCAACTTCAGATGCATTTAAATAAGAGCGTTTTTACGGAATTCGTAATTATTTTTGGGATGGGGAAAGAGCATGACTTTGACTTTGTAGGAGGAAATCAGCGAGAACTTGCCCGCCAGAAAAACATGAAGAAATCCCAGGAAATTAGCAAGGGAAAAAGGAAAGAGGATAGCTTGACCACCTCTCAGAGAAGGCAGAGGTAAGTGATACTAATGGAATTTTCAAGTCACTGAAGTTTTTGTTTTGGAGAATGGAGAGAATGTTTTAAATCCTTGGTAGAACTAGGCTTAGACTGCATATAGGAGTAACAGTTGAGCATTTGTTGCATGCATACTAAAACTATATGTAAGGTAGTAATTATCCCAATACCTGAATGAAAAATTTCCAGCTCTCAAGCCATAGTCTTGAAGAGACTCTCAGGCTTCACTCACCACAACCATAAAAATTTCATTTAGCAAAATATTTGAATGCCTTCCACATGGCAGGCACTGTTAGGTACTAGAGATACAGCATTTTCAAGGGAGACATCCTACCCAAACTAGTCAAGATAACAGCTG